TATACTTGGACCAAGAGGCAGTAGTCAGAACAGAGCAGGGTAACACTGCATGGTTCAAAATTGGGAAGGGTGTACGCCAGGGATGCGTCCTGTCTCCACAACAACATATGTAGGTCATATTATATACTCTCTTATAATAAGGGGCTTGAACGGATTTGGGTAATCTCGGTGGTATTGGAACCAGCCACCTCAGTACAGAGGAATGACCACACTTCTGCCCTAAAGCCAAGCATGTCCTACATCTAATCTGGGAGGACAGAATTAAACTGAATGTGCTTGGCTGACAGGTTCCTGTCTGTCTTCTTTCACTAGTTGCTTAACAAGACTCTGTCCTTACTTTTCTTCCCATTCCTACTAACTAGAGAAAAAAAAATTCCCCCATTAAATTGCATGTTTGTGTCCCTCCCTTCTCTCTCTCTCTCTCTCTCTCTCTCTATCTCTCTATCTATCTATCTATCTATCTATCTATCTATCTAAAGAAAATATTTTTTGAGAGCCATGGTGCAACAGAAATCATTCAAAGTCTTCACTTCTTAGGAGGCAGTGGATTAACCTTTTGTAACAGGCAAAAATGTAAAAGCAATCCAAGGTCATATCAACCTGAACGACCTAAAAAGAATTCTTGGGAATCAAATGAACAATGAGTTAACTGAGAATAGTTCTAGAACACAATTAGTTAATCAAACACCACACAAAAATAATTTTTCCTAATCCTTCATAGTCTCTAAATTTAATCTTTGTTTCAAATGACAGACAACACTGCAGATTTATGATTTGTAAGTTAACAAAAAAAATGTATCATTGCTAAAGTTATACTCTGGGAAGACTGAAATGTGCTCTAACTAGACTTTATCTGGCAGTATTTGAAGGAATAAATATATTTTAAAAAACAATTTGGTGAAGTGCGTGTGAATCACAAAAAAAGTGATCTATAAAAAACAAGATTTTCTAAGAATTCAAAATCGTGGTTACACAGATTATAGAGAAACATAAGCGAGATCATGCTTGTCACAATCACTTGAGCATGTCGGAGAGAGTGACAACGGTGTGGGACAGAGGAGGGTTCTGATTTGTTGTTCCTGGTCGGGTCACTATGCGTCACTGTCAAGTCAAGGGCAACCTGCCTTCCTGCTTGACCTCACGGAAGCTTCCTCCTTTGGCTTCCCCTTATTGAGATTGTACACAGCTTTAGTTTGCTTGGCTCCATAGTCAACAGTCTTGGCACCAGGAAATTAAAAGGCACATTGCCATGGGAAAGTCTGCTGTTAGGGACCTCTCCAAAGTACTGAAGAGCAATGGTGTCTCTCTGGAGACTGAGGTGCCTCTGATACAGGCTATGGTCTTCGCAATCACTTGT